GGCTGAATTGCACAAAACGCATGATCGCACCGGCTAGTCTGGTGCGCGTTGCCATTTATTTTTATCGTCTGTCTTATTATTCAGTCTTATGAATGCCTGATGAGCCACCGTACTGCAGCACTGCTCTGCTGATAGTTAAAGATTCGATCCGCCGGTAAAGTGATTTTGAGGGAAAATTACTCTCGCCCATTTATAGGGCCCTAACCTCAAAATGATCGCTCACGTCCACATGGTACTCATGTGCAAGTACGTCGAAGTTTTGACGAAAAAACTGCTAACTCGGGAACCAGAACAGCTAAAATTTTAAGAGCATGCCCCCCGCTCATGTACAGTTTAATGAGCAGGTAAATTGCAAACTCGGGTACTAGAAAAGCTAGAAAGCTGAAATTTTAAGGAGATTTTTTCTTACAGTTATGGTGGCCGGTCTCAGTTCTTTTAGCTAGAAGCATTTGCCGGAAAAAACCTCTGCCGTTAGAAACAAAAACCTGTGAGGAATTGTGCAAAAAACGCATCTTCACACCGGCAGTTGGCGCGCCACCCAATTATTGAATTTTAATTTAAAATATCACAATACTGGTTTTTCCTTTCCAGCACTGGTATTTGTTATCGATAGTTCGTGTCCGAGCCGCTTCATCGAAGCACAGAATGAGTTGGCGAAAATATTTGCTGAACGGGAGCTAGCCGATGCTTGCTTCCTGGTCATTCTGAACAGACGGCAGCCAACAGTTGTCAATCAGCACTGCGTTGTTAGTTCAGCGGCCATCGATCAATTGGTCATGAATATCAATCGATTTGGTGCTGGTCAGTACATTCTCCGTTCGTGTAGTGAACTGTGAAAACCAAAAAAAAAGAAGTTTTTTTGAGAAAAACTACGATGATCAGCACCTACGAAGCAGTTGTTACGATGATCAACACCCTTCAGTACTCTGTTTTTGAGTCCTAGGCTATGTGCAACTTAATGGACCGAAATGTCTTAATCTCAGTTCAGTGTTAATTTGCATATTTTTTATATTCCAGCCATTAATTTTTTTAAATATATTTATTCAGTTAGCTGATATCTTAAAGCGAAAAAGGAAAAATCCTCTGTATCCGCTCTCAGAGATAGACGATAACACTGAAGCAAGTAATCCAAGTAGTAGCAAATGCCAGCAGCAACTACATAACTTCCTCTTTCAAAAAAAAGAAAGTTGTTTTTAAACAAGCCAGCGGCAGGTCTGACTCCGTGTGCCATATTCCAGTACCAGTTTTACCATTGAAACGAATGATCGGTAATCGTAGAGGGCTTGGATATTCCGCTGGCGAAGTCGGATCTTTGACCCTGCTGCGCGAAAACAGCGTTATCCTAGTTTCTAATTTTGTGTAAATTATCATTTATTATCAAATAAATGTTGCACAGTAATGCTTATCTCCCCTGGATCTTTTCTTACCTGCCCAAGATCTGCTGATATAAGGCAACTGTCCCAACCACGATCCCTTTTTCGTTTTTTGCAGCAATGCAATGCGAAAAACGCATATTGACGAGAGGTTGTCTGTGTGTCCGTGTGTGTCTGTGTGTCTGCAGCAATGCAATGCGAAAAACGCATATTGACGAGAGGTTGTCTGTGTGTCCGTGTGTCTGTGTGTGCGTCTGTCACGCACTTTCATCTCAGGACCTACAAAAGCTACGGGGCTGAAATTTTGGGGACTTAATGTACATGCACGTACGGGCCCCAATCCCCAAAATTGGCGCCATACCCCGCGTGGTACCCGGGTACGGGCCCCCCAAGTTTTTTTCGAGTTCATAACTCGGGGATCTAAGATGCTGGAAAGGCGAAATTTCAAGGGATTGTTCCCCGTCCAAGTAGGTACTAATGAGCTCAAACCCAGCCCCGCGGGTAAGCGTGATACCCGCGTACGGCCCCCCAAAATTTTTCCCGCGCAATTTCATAACTCGGGGCACTGAGAAGCTAGAAGGCTGAAATCTTGGGGTAATGTTCCACGTCCAACCGGGTATTAGTGGGCTCAAACTCACCCCCTGGGTAAGCATAGTGCCCGCGTATGAGCCCGCCAAAATTTTTTTCGGGTAAGTTCATAACTCGGGGATCTGACAAGCTAGAACGCTGAAATCTTGGAAGTATGTTCCCCGTCCAAGTGGGTATTAGTGAGCTCAAACCCAGCCCTCGGGTGAGCGCGGTGCCCGCGTACGGAATCGCCAAATTTTTTTTTTCGAGCAAGCTGATAACTCGAGTACCTCAGAAGCTAAAGGACTGTGATTTTAAGAGGATATATCTCGTCCAACTAAGTTTCATTCAGCTCAAACCTAATTCTCGGGTATGCTTGGTAAACATGCACGGGCCCCATGAAAATTTTGTTTCAGTAAGTTGCTAACTCAGGAGCAAGGGAAACTGGAAAGCTGAAATTTC